CACATTTCCAAGCTCCAATGACTTCTCCACGTTCAAAAATTGTAAGTTCTCTTCGTTTGCAAGACATAGTAGTTAAAGAAGGTTCTAAACAACGCATGGGAAAAAATTGGAGACAAATTTATAATAAAATGATCGACAAAACTGGTTTTAAAGTTAAACAAATAAATGATCTACAGTCACGTGCTTACTGACTTATTTCCAGGCACTGTACATTTTATAGATCATCACGTCACACAAAATGATATTAATCATATGATTTGCTGTGATTATATAGGGAGAAAGTTTTAAAGTGATTATATGGAAGGCAAATTTCTTATATAAAATGTGACTAAGATGAGGGTGTAACTACACCTGACTGTATATATCATTGACGTATGTAAATGCGTTGATGTTGTTAGTAGGTAAAGTAGGTAATGTGTGGTGAGGTGGTGACCTCGCCAAATCTGATGGTGAAGGTGTCGGATCTAAATTCATATCATTATTTGACGAATCATCTATCTCTTTATTCAGAATAGAATGATTCGCTGATGAGTTATCAAATTGTTGATCTTTTTGAGCTTTTAATGCTGCTAATTTCTCTCAAGTTTTTATTTTATTTCTTGCGTCTGTTCAAGCGTTTTTCGCACTGAAGTTGATCTTCCTTCTCTTATAGCTTGCCATTCTTTATAACGAGCTTTGTGGGCTTATTCATTTTCTAATTTCCAGATTGCTTCCAGAGAATTTTTACGTTCATTCATAAGATTCTCTTGTTGTTGTTTCCATTCCGCCTTTCGATATGCTGCTTTAAAGACGGTGATGGTTTTTCCTGTTTTTTAAAGCTTTTGTTCCGGGAAAGGAGAGGATGGAGGTGGCTAAAAATTCATGCGGTAATGTTGAATTTTTTTGATGATAATATGTTCATCAGGAGTCCGATGTGTGGGAGAAGTAATAGATTCAGAAGTAGCAGGACAAAAATGTTCCTTTATCGTTTTTCATGTCAAGATGGAAACGTGAAATACTATTCCACCTTTTAATTTGTGCTTTGAGATTTAACCACATCAAATTTGATATTTTTATACTTTTTGTAAAAGGCTTCACGCTTGTTACTGTTCGCAGTCACGAAACCGAACTTGTGTTGATTTTTTATTTCGTATCTTCTGATCATAACCATGTATTCCATATCTAACCAGTTACTTCTAGATTGGTCAACTTTAATAATTATATGGTATAGGCATTAAACTTTCTGCGAAATTTAATATATGTTTGGAAGGATTGTTTAACCTATACAATAAAAAAGATTATTATGGTAAAAGATTTAATTTAAATTATATGATAGAGAAATTTTTTATTTTTATTTTATTTAGACGAGTAAACACGTGATGGTTACACCATCAACGTCTCGTGATTGTGATGCTGACAGCTTGAATTGTGTACACATGGAATATAAAGTCGACGTAAGTTTTGTATAAAAATTTGATGTACGGCGTTTTCGGTATCTTGTTTGGTAAGTCTTTCACGCATATACCACGGTAATTTTGTTCAATAGAAGTTGTTTCAAGCAAGGGAAATATTTAGCTACTACGCTTTAGGAAACTGGTGGTTGAATGAACAGACACATGCCAAATAATTACTAATAATATATCTAATGTTTGGTCCGAAAAATACTTCATTTATTAACCAATTAAATTGCTTTGGTCAATCAAGTTAAACCAAAAAACTGACTGCCTGTTATTTTTCATATTATTACGCACTATTTATAATAAAGTAATTAATGAAAGTAAAAAGACAAATAATAGTTCTTTATTATTAAACCACTTCTAAATAAATGAACAAATAAATAATAATTTCGTTATAATATACAGAAATTACAAAATTTTATTAATTTTATTGATTTTTTTTTTTTAAAAAAAAAAAAAAAAATATTGCGTTAATACTAATTAAATAATTCAAATAAACATAGTTAAATACGTTAAATAAAATATAAATTGAATATAATATAATGAAAAAAAAAGTTGAATCGTTATTGAGTAAAAACTTCTACGAAAAAAGAAATGCTACATAAATGACCTATAAGACTGCGTGATATTAATGTGGTTCTTAATTTATCAAAGTCTTGAATTGCATATCTAATTTAGTTTTTTCTGCTTGCTTATATAGAATATCTTGAATTTCTTCTGCAGGTAGATCAAAATCATTAATTAATTTCTGTCTAATTTTCTCTAGTTCTTCAGAAGCAGAATTGTCATTAGTCTGAATAACATTTCTTTGTTTTTCCAAAATATTATTCACTAAAAGCATCCCTTTTTTACCAGGTTCATGCTTTTTATTAAAATTATTGACTAATTCACTTAACTCAACTTGTTGAGTTTGAATTTGAGAAAGTAAATCTTTTATTTTTCCTTGAAAATTTTGGTATTTTTCTGTTTCTTCATTCAATTGTCTCTTTAGTTCATAAGTTTGCTGCTGGAGTTCATCAATAAAACATTCTTTATTTTTCAAGACATTAGTTTTCTCCTCATTTTGTTGTTTGAGCTTATTAATAAGTTCCTCTTTTTCTTCTAATTCATTACTGAGAGCGTTAATTTTCTCTTCATTTTGTTGCATAATCTTATTAATAAGTTCTTGTTTATAGTTTAATTGGTATTTACGGGTTTTAAGTTCTTCTTCTAAATTACTCTTATCTCTCTGAAGTTTTATTATAAAGTCTTGTTGAGAATTTTGTTCGGTTCGAAGGACATCCCTGTTTCTTTTGATCTTTTCAAGTTCATTTTCTATTTCCTTAGCTTTTACTGCTTGATTTTGTAACAATTGTATTTCTTTTTTCAAGTCATCCATTTGATTTCTCAGTCCAGACGCATCAGTTTTAGTAAAACTTTTTTCGTTGTCTAATTTTTTTCTGAGATTATTTAATTTCACTTTTTTATGCTCAATTTGAGATAATGATGATCTAATGTTTTCTAATTCATTTTTCAAGTTAGTAGATTCGTCTTCTTTAGCTTTCAACTTTCTAGTCGTTTCTTCCAATTGTTTTTCTGATTGGCTCACTTTTTCTTCTTTGATTGCTAACTCATCTATTAAGCCATGCATTTCTTTATGCAATACTTCTTTTTCCATAACAGTAAAGGATTCTAGCTTTTTTTCTTTTTCTTCTAATTGCTGCTTGGTCTGTTCCAATTTTTCATTTAATTTCTTGACTAAATCTTCCAAATATTTTTTCTCTTCTAAATTAATATTTTTTTTAACCAATTCATCTTCTTTTGCAATTAAGTTACTTTCTTCTTTTTCAAGTTCTGTAAATTGAGCGTCTAGCTTTAACTCTTCTTCAACTTGTTTAATTTGATTTTGGATCGCTTCATTCTGTTTAATTAATTTCCAATTTTTTTTCCATACTTTCAAATTATATCTACCTTGAAGAGCATCACTAGAACTTATAGAATAAGTCTTGAGTTGTTCATATATTTTTACAACTTTGGCTTCTGGTCTCTTATCAACTGAGCATTGAAAACTTTTAATACTATCAGGTAAGTATTCTAAACCCGAATCTATATCAGTATCATTAATACATAAATTCTCCAACTTAATTATAAGTTTTAAGGGTTTCAAACTACCATAAAAACGGTTATATATGCCTTGTTTGATTCTATCTTCATCAGTATTTCCTATGAATAGTTCTTTTAAATTAACTAAGCGGCTAAAACAATTTAAATTCTGAGAAAATGAATTATCGAGCAAATTTAAATACTCCAATTTATCATTATTTATAATAGCAGGTAGTTTCAGCTCATTAAGTTGATTATGATTAGCTGTAACAGATTTAATATTCAAACAATTACTTAGATCTAACCTAATTAAATTGTTTTGGGAACAATCAATAACGGTTAACTTTTCGTTTTTACTAATATCCAGACTAGTTAATTTGTTATTAGAACATTGTAATTTTTCTAAATTAATGAAATCGGATAAATCCAAATGACCTTCTAGATTATTATTAAGCATTATTAATTCATTCAGCTCTCCTTTTATTGGGTATTGGTTGTCTATATATCTTCGTATGTTTGTTTGTTTTAACTGCGGTTCTATAAAAAAATTCAATTACTTTTGAAAGTTTAAAAAAATTCATATTATTTGTGATTGTAAAAAAATTAACATACCTTCCCCATGATTATTTTCAGTTAAAATATATCCCATTGAATATTTCTTGCCGTTAATATCAATCTTTGTATTTTCACGATCTGAATGAGATAGAGTGCAAACAGTTACTTCAACATTAGATTGAGTGGAATTGAAATCTATACTTGAATTTGAAATATTCAAATAAATACAGTTCTTTGACCATCTGATTAACTTAATATTTATAGGCTCAAAGCATTTAATAGAGATATCATATCCTTGAGATAACTGATGAGAAGTTTGAATAGAATAGATAGGATTGTCACGTTGTAATGTGATAGTTTCCTTGAAATAATCGACCTGTATTTCTCGATTATTTGGATAAAATACTGATAATTCTAAAGGATTTCCGATTATCATCCATATAATATAACATCCCTCTATACTTATATTTGTATTCTTTGAAGAATCTATTGTCACGAAAAATTCATTAATTTCATATAATCCAAATGTAACAAAAATATCATCCAATTTTGAATTGTTTTTTGAAACAATTGATCCAAAAACCTCGTAATTTTTATTATCTAACGATGGTTCTATACTTACAATCACCTGTTTAGTAATATCTGAATCCTTTAAATCAATACTTCCAGTCATTATAATCTTAAATTTATCTTTCCTATTCAAAATGGTGTCTATTCTTTTCGTTTGTTCTACATCAAGAATACTATATAAAGGAATTATATTATTGGATTCAATAATTTCTATTTCCAATTCGTTCTTCAGATCTTGAATCCATTCAGACAATTCATTTTCTCCGATAGTATGCTTTTTTTGAGTTATAAGATAATTAATACTATAATCAGATAAAAGCGGTTTTAAGGATTCAAATACTGGTGATGCCAAATCAATCTTTTTTGAAATGCTAGATGAATTTACTATAGTATTCCTAAGAGATTTTCCTAATATGATATTTAATGGAATAAAATGTCCATATTCGTCAAAAACTTCTTGTAAGCATATAAGCGGTTTCATATCTTCAAGTGCTTTCTCTACAGCTTGTTTAAACTTTTCTGAAGGTTTAATATTATCCCTATTTAATAAAATTTTATATTGTTCACATTTTACCAGAAAATGTGCAAAATCATCATAACTAGGATCATCTGATACTTTAATAAACGGGAAGGAGGAGCTTATATCTTCATTATTATTAACTGAAAAGATGTGGTTGTTAATTAAAATTTCTTCTAAGGTAGTCGTCGGCTTCACTATTCTTATATAAAATTTATCACTTGATTCTATATTAGGAATATTAATTAATTCGATAGCATTTTCCTTGCTAATTTTTAATTCAAACCTTTGATCAATTATTAAACCTCGAAGAAATTGAAATTCTTCAACCCATCTTACATATTTTGAATTTTTAGCCCAATTTTCTAAAGTCAATTTCTCTTTAAAATTAGAAACTCCAGGTTGTATCTCATTTATTAATGATATTGGGTCGGATTTTAATTGAGAAATTGGAATGAGATTATTATAAGAAATTATTTTAACTGTATCATCTCGGTATAAATCATTCACCCAATTGGTAAATTTTTCACGAGTATCTAAAGTTATTCCATCCAATGTTAATATTTTTGGGAAGAAATTAAAAGCAGATAAATTATTAAATGGGGTTTCTTTTTTATGTTTAGAAGAATTATATACCCAAGTTAGGTAAGAGTTAAAAATGTCGATTTGTGTTGAAGTAACAGATTTAAGACCATCGATAAATAATTTGCCACCAATTAAAACCTTTTTTGGAAAAAGATGACCGTACATTTCATATAACTTTCCTCTATCATCATCTATAAAATTTGAAAAAGATTCTGATAAATCAGCAATATAAGTAATTTCGGCAACAGGGAAATTAATACATATATCTGATGGTCGTAAATGTTCGTCGAGTTCAACGTCGTTATCATCAGAATTAAAACTCAATAAATTTTTACGTGAGTTACGATCGTTTATGAAAGTATATACTAGAGGTTGACCTTCATATAAACTTATATTCAATTCTCCATTTTCAGTAAATATAGCTTGTTTACTTGGTTCTATGCTATACCCATTCAAGAATAATCCATAATTCAATTTGAGCTTTATACTAGCCACTATTTCTTTTAGATACTAAAATTATTAAAAAACAATATAATTAATTTTTATACTCATATATATAAATATGTATAATAGAGCCCAATTTGTTAAACTCACTTTAGTTATATCATCTTGATCGGCTTTTAATTGTCCAAGTTCATCAGCAGTCTTAACGTCAATAGAAAAAGACAATACTTTAATATAACTATCAAATTCTTCACATAATTTCTTAAAAGTTTCCTCAATATTTTTCACTTTAATATGTTTTATCAAAGATTTCATTTGAGAAATTTCTGATATAAATTTTTTAATTCGTGTTATAGTATCAGATAAATCTTGTAAACATGAATAATTTTTATTATTAAAAAACTCTTTTCTATCTTCTCCAAGATCTCGTACTGCAGCACCAACTCGGTTTTTTAATATTTTACAGGTTCGTTTATTATGCTCAGCAGCTTTTACTAATTCGGTAATTTCTTCAAAAATATTTTCAATTTCTTTAATTATAGGGAGAAATTTTATAAATGGAACCGCCGAAGTATTGACTATAATAATTAAATTATTATTAAAAAAATCATTTTATTAATCAATATAATTAATATATTAAACCTACTTGAAAAATCAGAGGAAATATTTAAATCATCATTATCGTTAACTTTTGAATTACTTTTGTCATCAATATTGTGTATATTAGGTTGTAAAGATCGTGGATCAATAGTGATTAATTGACTTAAAATTTCATGTACTTCTCCAATATTGGGTCTTGATTTTGGTTCGTCATCCCAACATTGTTGATAAAGATCTTTATACTTTGGAGGTGTACCTTCAATTGTATCCTCTCTATCACCTTTTTTAACGTAGTAGTCAATTAAACCTCGTATACAGTCAGAAAAAGGAGGACGTCCGCTTGAAATTTCCCATAATAAAACACCTAAACTATAGATATCAGACTTCTTATCCTTTTTATACTTTCTATCCTTAAAACATTGCGGATCAATATATTCATTCATCCCCTTTCTATTACCCAATGAATTAGTTGTAACTTCTGCCAATTTTTTAGATAATCCAAGGTCTGCAATTAATAACTTTCCATTATTCACTAAGATATTTTTTGAGTGCTATTAAAATGATTGGCAATATTTATTAAAATTATCATAATTAAAAATAAAATTACAAACAAAATATTATAAAAAAAAAAAAAAATTAATCTTCTACCAGGTCTCTATGAATTATTTCTTTGGAGTGTAAAAATTTCAATCCACTAGTAATATCCAGTGCCATTTGAATTTGATCACTCCATTTCAAAGAAGTAAATTTTTTATTCAAAAAATCTCTTAAATTTCCTTCATTGGCATATTCCATCACCAAAATATAGTTCTTAGAATCTATTAATTTTGAAATATGAATAAGTTGGATTGAGCCGTACAAGTAAATTTTTTAAAAAATCTTAACATATACCTTTTGTTATTCCAAGGCAACGATTGATTTTTGGATGATAATCAACCTCGCGAAGGAGTTTTAACTATAAAAAAAAAAAAAATTAAACAGAAATTAATTTTAATATGTATTTACTAAGCTAATATACTGTACAACATAAAAAAGTGATTTGTACCTCCTTGACTATCTCATCATTAGCCTCATTAAGTTCATTTGAATTTTTATTAATTATAATTTTTAGTGCGACCAATCCGGTATTAGCCAAAATTGCTTTATTCACTACACCGAAACTTCCATTACCAATTTCGGTGATTTCACTAAATTCATTATATTCAAAATAACGAATATACTCATTCTTTATCTTTTCCTCAATCCATCCTTTTACTGAAGTCATTTTTTCATTTAAGTAATAATAGAGAAATTATATTTATTAAAAAAAAAAAATTTTTTTTTCAGCGCTTTATTTCATTGTATGCTGTATAACTGGGAATTTTTTGTAACCATTATGCATTGATCAACGGAATCCTTCCCAATTTCGCGATAGTATACTTGATGTGGTGATTATAGGACGATCGCTTTCTAAATTGATGCTTAATGCTTATTTGTTGTGTGATCATCAAGCATTTTTTCATAAATTCGAAAATGCCACAACACAAATATTGCTATAGATATTCTTTTTAATAAAAGATAAAGTTGTTATTATGTAAAAAAAAGCATATAGCATATGCAATTGCATAGCAATACACTTTTGACATAAAAATATTGCAATATGCAATATTGCTTCTCCTAATATCATTAGAATAAAAATCATGAATACTAATAGCTGTACGCAAGGGTTTGTTATAAGTTCAGTACACAAAATTACCTCCTTACTTTTGATAATTGCAAATTAATTTCCTAACCACTGATCATCATGTGATTTACCTATTGTTTTGTTGATCAAACTTAACGTTTATCAAAGAATAATTTTTTTACAAAAATTTAATAACTTTATATGTCACATAATTATATAAATGTATTTATTAAATGTACAAGCATTACACATTTTTTTGCACTAAATAAAGTGCTACATATTTTTTGCACTAATAGTTATTTATTTTTATTTATCTCATGATATTATATATATGATCAGCCAAATTACTAAAAATACGCCTTAAACAAAAAACCTGTTAAAAATACGCATTTTAATAGTCTAAAAAATCCTCAGGTTGTACGAAAATTTCTTTATACTGGCGACGTAATTATGCACCTTACCCCTACATATATATTTCGGGGCCTAATAATAAAAAAAAATTTTTGTTGATTATTTTTTTTTCTTCGATCATCAAAGTGCTAAAATAAAAAAAAACAAACATGAAAAATAATTAGATCTAATATTTAATTATTTATCCATTATCAGGAAATTAAATTGTCATAAATCAATGATGCTATTTACTAGCTAGTAAAATTTGGACTGTTCATTTAACCGATATTCTACTTATAAATTCTTATTGATAAATGTACAACAGAGAAATTTGAGTAGGTATTTTGGAATTTGTGTGAGTTAATTTTTTTTTTCTATTTTGATTTATTTAATATGAACTTAGTTACACTGTTCCACTTATACAGAGCAAAATTGTTGTTGCCACCATTAGGAAGTCATTGATTTCATAACGATTTCTTCCCACCTACCTTTACTTATGGATCATGCCCAACCCTGATTGTAAGAAAGAAAATCATCCTTATGTTTTTACTTGAAACAAGATAGATTATTTAACATGGTTGTTAAGAGATTGTGATGTAATCTACTTTATTGTATTTGCTAAATTTTTTTAATGTTATTAAATAAAACTTTTTTAATTTTGTTAATTGTGTCTACAAATTACTTTTTAATGAAGCTAATGCAATGATTTTATTAGCATTATCCATAAACTTTTATTTGACAGTTACAAGTTTTCTGTCAAGAAAATAAATACCACATTGTTATGATATTCCCTTTGTTTAATTACTATACGATGTATGATTGTAAAAAATAATTGGGCTTTATCTACAGATCACTCCAATTTTTTTAAAAATTTTTTTTTTTATCTTTTTTTTTACTTGTTTCTAATAAAAAAAAATTGAAAGAAAAAGATTAATTCTTTTCTAATTTTCTAATAAGAAACAAATTAATTTTTACAATTTCTAATGAATCAACGAAAAAAATACTTTTTCTCTTATATGTTAATAAAGAAACGAGAAAACACTTTTTTTTCTAATTTTCTAACATAAAAATATATTTTTTTCTAATTTTCTAATAAAAAAAATTTTTTCACAAAAAAAAAAAAAAAATGCTTTGTAGTTGACCCAATCATCACGTGACTAAAGTTTCGCGTCACTAACCGTGGCAACTTGCTGTATCACTAACTACAGAAATGGAACCACCGAAAAAAAATTGTTGCTAACTTCCTTACTTTTATAAATATAAAATTCAATGGTATTAACTATATTTCCAAGAAGTCCTCCGCAAGTTGTATATTTTAGTAACTGAATATAAAAAAAGGGAATTGCTAAACATCGCCTGGGTTTTTTTTCAAATATGTCACATGATGTACAATATATAAAAGAGTAAATTTATTAATCGGCTGACGGCTGATTTTTTTTTAACTTAGCTAATTTTTGATCGGCTATTTTATCGCAAAAGATATTTTAAAAAAAAATTTTTTTGCGAACATATTTGTTCAAAATAATCTTATCTAATGAAATTTTATTTGCAAATATTAAAATTTAAGTCGCAAATTTACGATTTTAAAGACAAAAATCACTGTATTTATTTTTAATGAAGTGATACAAATAAAAGAAACAATAACAATAAATAAAAATGAATGATCAAGAAGAAAGATGCTAAAAAAATGAAATAACAATGGAGTGATGAAAAGTAATAGAAGATGAAAGGGAGTAAAAAGAGTAATGAGAAGTGATAGGAAACAAAAAGGAGAAATCGGACATGATGGGAGATGAAGAGGAGTGATGGGAGACGAAAAGAAGTGATGAGAAGATGAAGTGGAGTGATGGGAGACGAAAAGGAGTGATGGAAGACGAAAAGAAGTGATGAGAAGATGAAGTGGAGTGATGGGAGACGAAAAGGAGTGATGGAAGACGAAAAGAAGTGATGGGAAAGTGAAGAGGAGTGATGGAAGATGAAAAGGAGTCATAAAAGACGAAAAAGAGTGATGAGAGTCGAAAAGAAATGATGGAAAGACGAAAAGGAGTGATGAGAGACGAAAAGAAATGATGGGAAGTAAACAGAAGAGAAAGAGATAATGGAAAATTGAAAAGATGTAATAGAAAATAATGGGAGACGAAAAGGATGGAATAATGAGAAGTAATAGGAGGTGAAAAATGATGAGGGACAAAAAATAAAAAATGATCATGATAGGAGGTTGGGTAGCAAAAGATAATGATAGGAAACCAAGTAAAAAATAAACCATAAAGTAAAAAAAAAAATAAGTTAGTAAGAAACGAAATATAGATAGAAACAAAAAAAAAATAAATAAAAAAATGAGTAAGAAACGAAACGTAAAGTGAAAAACAACAAAACAACTGAACCTTAATTGCAGAACCGGAAGGACTTAAGGACCTAAAATAATGAGTTAGTAAGAAACAAAGTGTAAGAATGTAAGTTAGAAATAAAAATAAAAGAAAAAAAGAAAATAGCTTGAAACCAAGGAAACGAACCTCGAACACAGGTTGACGGCATATGTGCCACTGATCACGTGATACATACAATCTCCTTATCGCGCTAATTTAAAGTATTTAATTTAATTTCAAGCAAAAAAATTATTATTGTAAGTGTTTATTTAAAAAAAAATTCGATTAATTTAATATATTATTATTGATAAAAAACTTAAAATATATTAGGGTTAAAATTTTAATTATAAATTTTGAATTTTTAAAATTTTTTAAGTATTATATCAGAACATAATGCCATTGTGTAAATAAACGCTATCAAATAAAATAATATCTTTGGTTTAAATTAGTATGAATGCTTTGTAAAAACGTTAAAAATGTATGCTATCATAATAATAAATATTATGAACCAATACATTGCTTCAATTTGGCTGATTTTTGCTCCTTTTTACTGGCTTTCCTTGTTTTACGACTAGGAATATTTTGTGGCATAAAACAATGGCGTTCCCATAAAATCTCAAAATGTTTGCGTAGTTGAGGATACCGGCCATAAAACATTTGTTTGTAATGCGTATGCATTTCTGAACCCGACTTTGTATAAAGGATTTCTTTCATCATCTTCATGATAGGTCCCGATCTTCTTTATTAATATGATGCTTCGAGTCATGAAGCTATCTCCAGAATGCCTTGAGAACGTGAAAGGTGCACAGAAGACGGATTTCTGGCATTTTTCAGTTGAATAATTTAGTAAAATCAGTAAATCATTTCGAATTTAAAAAAGAAATTAGATTCAAAGTGAATCCTTACCTTCTGGCCAACATAATTCAAGAGCATTGCGTTCAGCACTTGAATCGTCAGTAAGAAAAACCTTTGGGCCGACTTGTGGCCCATGTCCAAAAAAAGGCATGTTGTGGAAGAATCATTTTAATTTTCTAGCGTGATTTTGGACTCATCTGAAGTGATAAACAAGCCAAGCGGAAGGGCACCGAAGAATAATAGATGTATTTAAAGGTTCAAATCATGCTGAAGCGTCCATATAACATAATTCAGCAGATTGTAAAACTCTTTCGTGTACTCAACTCATTAAATTAGTTACGACGCACAGAATAAACGCGTGAATCATATTCTTGCAATATCGCTTTTCCATGGCCTGAGTTATTATAATCGTTTACGACTTCTTTTCTTTATCGTCAATATCTACGAATGCATCCAGTTCAAATTGTGGAATCTCAAAATTCTCGGTAGTTTGACATGGTGATAAAACATTAAAATTTTTGATTAAATATGAGTGACGCGGGGGAGGACTGATTTTAATTGTTCGGGAAGGGAATCCCATGAAAAGAACTAAAATAAATACGAAAAATTTAAAGTTAGGTTATGATAAACGATAACGATAAATAAAAAAAAAAAATTTGATTCTATAAAGGCCGAAGTAAAAAATTATTTTACATATAATCAATAAAATAGACTAAAAAATACCGATGAATACTACTATTTAATATAGAATAATAATAACGAGAAAAATGATACAATACTACACGATAAATTACTATTATACATAATAAATTAAATAACGAACTAATTATACTTAACACTCTATATTAATATATTATCCTCATAAAATAAAGTTAAACTCTATATTAAATAAATTCTAATAAAACTCTATATCAAATAAACTCTATAATTAAAAATGCAACGATATACCTATTTTAATCAAAAACTTGTTTTTTTTCTCATTTTTAACTTGTATTTCATGTGTAAATTATATAGAATGTACTCTTAAAACAAAAAAAGCTTCGATAATATGAAAGAAAAATATGCAAAATTGACTTACTTTGTGATTCGATGTCCATACTGTTTATCAGTTATGTATTTACTGTGGTTTAACGAATCACAACTTGAGCTGTGTAACTTAATTTCTTAAAAAAATTTTTTTTTTTTGTTCGAAAAGTGTGTGGGAGAAAAAGCAAAAAAAAAACTAGTGAGATGTTTATCAGAATTTCCATGTATGTATCACGTGATCAGCGGCTTTTTTTTGCGTAACATTTAGAAAAATTTAATTTTTAAATTTTCATACTTTAAAGTATAAAAAATATTGATTTCATGCTTTTAAAATTTTATACTTTTAAATTTAATAAAAAAAAAAAATATATTTATTTTCTAAAAGTCAATACAATAAAAATATGCTTTATTAATAAAAAATGATAAGTTCGTTCGATTTTTACATTGAAATTTATGTCTGCTTATTTATTAATAAAATAAAACGCGTAACTCCTAATAAATATAAAACCGCGTATCTCCTAATAAAATAAATATAATAATGCACTTAATATTTACAAAATATAATTATAACTCCACAAATATATAAGATAATTCAATAAAAATAATTATTTGAGTAATGCTATACTTGTTAAGCAACTTTATTTAGTCTTCAAAGAATGACCAAAGTACCAAAATTACGCTCTAATCTTTGTATAAAGAAGATAAACAAAAAAATAAAACCAGTTAATATAGTAGTTAAAAATAAACCAACAATAAATTTTATACTTAAATAATTATTTAAACTTGATATTTACAGCTTTTATAAACTTTTTGTCTGACATTAAACAAAGAAAGAGAAAAAGAAGAAAGAGTTACGAAAGTTACAGTTAAACATGTACCAATGTACGTTAAGATTGTACATCCCCGTAAGAAATAAAACATGACGCGATCATGTGGCCAATCTGGCCAATCAAAATATTAAATCTGCCACGTGATCGAAGACCCCAGACGATGTTTAGCAATTCTCATAAAAAAATATAATTTTAAAAAATTGGGATTGACAGGACCAAAAAAACTCAGATTTTAAGAAAAATTCTCGTGAATTTTTCTTGCTAAATTCTTCCTTTTGTGCAATAAATACTTTATAATAATAATAAATGCGGGGGACGAAGTCTCCAGCAAGTTGCATTTTCTAGTTTTAATTTATAATTTTGAATCATATAAATATCTATCTGATGGTCAAAACTTCTATTGTAAAAATAAATAAAGTTTCTGATATAGTTTTTGGGAAATTTCTATTTGTACACAAGGCGTTCAAACACGGGTTACCAAAAAAAAAAAAAAATTATTATGCTATTCATTTAATGTTAGCTGGAATTAAATTTATCGCACTTTTCAAAATTGTGCTACCCCCTATAGACTATCTAATAAAAAAATCATTAGATTACAGGACGATTACTGGACAAAAATCGGACAATGTTGTCCTGTAATCGTCCTGTAATCGTCCTGCAATCATAATCACTCAATCATCACAACGTACACAGAATTCTGAAAACTGCGATAATAAAAAAAAGATTTTAAATAAGTCAAGAATGACATGCTTCAATTTATTTATTTTATATTAACTTTAGAACGATGGTCAGAATGGCTGATCCTATACTAAAAAATACAAGAAGTAAAATACATAATATTCTCATGTTATCAAACTAAAACTGTTCGTCCCTTAAGAACCCATCCTTCGATAAAAAGATACTATCTATAGAAACATTGTCACTACAATAGTAGAGGGAATATAATTATAACTAAATGTTAAAATAAAAATAATCGGGAAAAGAAAAACTTTTAATCCAAGGTATATTAAAATTACAAAAAAATTTAAATAAAAAAAAATTGGAAAAAAAAAATTAAATATCAGTTTAAAATTTTATTTTATTTTACACTGCGTGTACAATTACTATTAATAACGGAGTTTACCTAAAAAAGAAAAATAATTTTTTTTATTTTTTTTATTTGTATATTTATGTAATAGTGCATGTGGTGTCACAAGTCACGAATGTCACATGGTAAAGGCAAAGCATGTGTGAACAGGTTAGTGTCGATCACAACTATAATAGGAAGGAGTGATGTTTACGCGTCACCTGATCACGTGCAGCCACGAGTTTAAAAACACTAATTATAGAATTTTTTTAGTGGTCAAAACTTATTTGTCACATTATTTGTCACCGTGATCGGCCTAACCTGTCACACATTTCGGACGTGCAAAGGAAGTTTGACAGTTACACCATTAATTTGTATAACTAGCGATCATAAACGGACTTTTTTTTTCAAAATTAAAATTAAACTTATTTTTTTTTCTAACAAATAAATTATTAAATATACTTTATAATAATTATGTCCACTATTCGAAAAGATCTAATACATGCAGCACTTAATAGAGCATCTGCATTAACTGATTATAATATTTACAAAGATTTTCATAAACAATATGAATTTATGCAACAAACAATTCTTGCTGATAATTCTCTTACGGAAGAAGAAAAAATTGTAGCAATAAGATCTAGTAATAAAAGTTATGACAAAAGTAAAATTTTTTATAATGAAGGGACAAGAAGAGTTTGTGAAAATTGTAACCAAAAATGTTTAGCTACATTATATTGTGAATATTGTGTTCGAAATTATTTAAAATATAATTTTTCAAATTGGACATCTGGAAATTATGATATTGATAACTTAATTCAGAAATGTCAAACGGAAACACTTATGCCAAGTAAAATTGTTGAATGGATCCCATATAATAATTTACAAAATATTAAATATCTAACAAGAGGTGGTTTTTCTGAAATTTATACAGCAGGTTGGATTAATGGAAGATATGATGAATGGGATTCTAATGAACGAAAATTAATAAGAGTTGGAGCTATTAAAGTAATACTTAAACAATTAGAAAATGTTGAAAGTGCAGATCAAAGTTGGTTTGAAGAGGTTTGTAATACAAAAAATTTAAGGAACTTAAATTCAAAATTCGTTGTTAATAATTAAAATTTTTTTTTTTTTAGGCTAGATCATATTTAACAATAAGCAACAAACACTCATCAATTGTTCAATGTTTTGGTTTAACACAAGATCCATCAAATGGAACTTATATGCTTGTAATGAAAAAAATGGATATAGATTTAAGAAATTATTTACAACAAAATCATGATCAACTTACATGGAAAGAAAGAATTAAAATCACTTTTTCAATAATTGATGCCCTTTATGATATACATATAGAGAATTTAATTCATAGAGATTTGCATTTTGGAAATATATTATACTCACGGTTTAATAATTCTTGGCGTATTAGCGATCTTGGATTTTGTGGGCCTCCTGATAAACCACTAGATAGTATATATGGAAATCTTCCCTACATAGCACCAGAAGTTATTGCTGGAAAAAGATATACTTTGGCATCTGATATTTATAGTATTGCAATGCTTATGTGGGAAATTTCATCTGGACAACCACCATTTATAAATTATGAACATGATTCTAATCTTGCAATTAATATTATTGATGGTATGAGACCAAAAATTATATCAGAAATTCCTTCAGAATATAAAAGTTTAATGGAACAATGTTGGGATGCTGATCCATTAAAAAGACCTGATACCGAAACAGTAATAAATAAGATGAATGAAATTATGTCATATTATCAAAATAAACCGGATGAATTACCTCAACTAAAAATAAAATCGAATAATGTAACTAAACTATTTACAAGTAAAATTCATATATTTAAAAATTTACGTGAACCAAAAAATGCAACAGAAGGTAGAGTAATTATATAATAATTATTGGCCATATAATATTTTTTTTATATTTCTAATAATATTGTCTTTTTTTATAATAATAGAAGAACAAGAAGGTAATATAAAATTGATTTTTTTAGCTTTATTTATAAAATCTTTTAATAAAAGGCCATTTTTATTAATAGCATTTCATAGTAAATTCAGCATTCCTCATAATAGTAAGTAATCATTAAAGTTATATTAAATATTCCGCATCACTTGCTAATAATTGTTTTTATTTTAGTTGATGATTTTGGCGAATCAAGTAATCAGTACATGTCAATAATAGGAAAAAGTGATGGAATTTTTAAAGGTAATTTATTATTAATCTTCAAAAAATAAAATGAATGTTATATAGAATATTTACTATTATTTAATATTTTAGTTTTAGATGGTGGTAAAAAATTATACAGTATGTTTAATAAAAGTACAAAGAATGGCAAGTAAAAATTTAATAAATTAATTCTAATTCAATTTAATAAAAAAAACTCTTATTAAATTTGGTTTGTTTAATAATTTTAATAATCACAGATAATAAAAATGATTATAATAAAAAACGTTATATCAATGAAGGTAAGCAAAATATTTATTGAATTTCATTTGAGATAATAAATTACATTATTTTACCTTTGTTTTTATAGATGATGATGAAAGATATGATCCAAATCTTTGTTCAGAGGAACAAGATTCCTGATGGTTTGTCTATTCTTTAATATTATTAATAATATAATAAAATAATAAATTTTTTTATTTATTAATTTACTTATTTTCTTTTAGATGGAATTTAAACTATTTTTACAAATTTTATTGACAATCAATTTTGAATTATTTAAACACTAAGATTAGAATATTAGGTTAGTTTCTTAGTTTGTAATTTAAATAATTCTTTTTTTTTTTATATTAAACTTGTTCATTTATTAAATAAAGATATTTACAAATTTATTATATATACTACAAATTATTAAGTTTTAATAAATATTTATTTAATAAGTATTTTATTTAAAAAGGTTATAAATGATATAAATTTTTAATATAAAGACTTAGTCATTTCTATCAATGGCGTAAAAATTTAAAATATGAAAAGCCCAAGAACAAAGTACTTTAGTTTGAATAATTATTATTTTGTTATTATTTTTGTAAAGACATGTGAAAACATACCTATAGAATTCAAATATATTAAATTAATAAATGATAAAATGTCCCTAGATGTTGGAATTATAAGCGAATTATGTAAAAGATGCGAAAATGTTTTTGTCTTATTATAAATCACGTGACTACACGCTCCCCTTAATGAACAGTAATATGTATTACATTACCATGTATTTGTAGTAGTCGTGTAAAATCCTAGCTTAATATTAAAATTAGTAAGATACGCTTGGACTAATTACATCCTCTTATCTTATTTTATTTTTTAGGATCCACGGATGGTGAAAGTGGTGTTTATTCGAGATGTTGGTAGGGGAATGGTGTAGGTAGTGGTAGTGCGTAAGTGCGTTTTTTTTCAATTTTTTTCGGCGTCTTAGGGTTTTTTCAGCTTCCGCTTTTTCCCTTCCCCTTTTTTCGGTCATATTCCCGGTCCCAGTGTGTTCTTTTTTATTTTTATTTTTCTGTGTCCTATAGGCGACGCCATTATCGCGTCTTTATGCTTGTAATGAGACCCTTTTATTATTATTAATTTTAGAGTACTCTCGTCTTGTCATATGGTGTACTATGTAAATAAAAATAAAAAATTATCATGTATTTGTAATAAATTTAATAATTCTGAAGATTTTGCATATAATTTTACATTATGTATTGATGTATTGTGATATTTTCGAATATTTTCTCCAAATTGACTGGCCAGTTCTATAATAATAAATTAATTAATAAAAAAATACGTATTTATTACATTATGTTGTTATTTATTCTTACCTTTCCACCCTTAATTACAGTACTAGGATTTATGATATTTCTTAATTATTTTGACATTTTTGACCTTGTTCATCCATAACAAATCCTTTTTTTTTTCAGTAAAAATAAGAAACACATTGAAATTTGGTAAATCACTCCCTCTCTGCTCTTCCTATCATCACTTCACCTCAAGGGATTCTAACGGGATTTCCGTGCAATGGTACGCCCATACCTACCGCGACCCTCTTGCCATCCTAGAGACGTCATAATCACCAGATCTCTCCATACCAAATTCTTCGTATAATAAAACGAAGTAACAAAACTAAAAGATCGATCTCATGCAAATATGTTATGGCTTGATCAAACTAATCTAAAAATCTAAACAAATCTATCCTAAAAACTAATCTATATACCTTATCAAGCTGCCCAAAATTTTAATCACTACACTATCAAATTCACCTGTACCATTATTCTCGAAAACACTTAAGATTCCTCAAGTATAACAGTCCCAAATTTACTTGCCGACAAGCCTAACTCCCGTCGTCAAAAATGCGAAACTAATCAACCGTTCCGAACTTTGGAGATGAGTCTTCGATATTTGTGAAGTCTTCAATCTTGTTGTAAGTTCGAGGTTGTGAACACGAAATCCAGACCTTCTCAAAAGAAACTATTTTCTCATCTGCGAAACAAGCAACTCAGATGAATCCAATAACGCCTTGATTAAAATAAAATAACGTATCACGTGGTATCCAGTTCTATTTATAAAACCTACGGTTTTCGAGCAACCTTTCCCTCGGGCAAATAAAATTTAATCGCGTGATTTGCTGCTCTTTTCCAAGATCGCTAAAACATCCATAACAAATCCATGTGCAATTAACGTTGAATACGAAGCTTTATCATTAACAGCCACTAAATAAAAAAAAATTTTAATTGAACTTAATCCAAATAAATAAAAAACACGAAATTTTTAAATCAGTTATTTACCTGAAATCAATAATAAAGATTGAACCATCTAAGATAATTTTAATAAAATGAAAATCAAACATTTATTTATTTATAAATTAAAATGAAATTATTTTTAAAATTATAATAATCTGAACTTAGTTATAACTACCATTATTTTTATATTCAGGTGCAAGTAATTCTTGATCATCAAGTTCCCACCATCCAACTGATTCATGTTTTTTGAAGATTTCAATAATATGTTCTATAGAAGAATCTGTTAACAGAGGAATAACTGTTTCTGATTCATAAAAAAACGGGAATAGGAACCCCCAAGATCTTTGACGTGAAGTACACCATTCATTTCGTGTCAAAGTAAATTGTTCCAATCGATATCACGCTATAATAAAAAAAAATAAAAGTGAATTTTATTTTGACAAAATTTAAAGTAAAATAATATACACACATATAAACTATTTACCAGATTTAGGTGCCATTTAACATTCTCAAATAATTTCATTGGCTTGTTGTTTAGTAGCTTCAACATTGGCGAACCATTCCATTGAGGTGTAGCTCTTGGCTTTTTGTTCTCCAATCATAAGGATATTTATCCCTCTTTAATTAAACAATTCTTTTTTTAAAAATATTCCATTACCGTCAACATTCCATCTGTTAAATGTTAACACCAATTTGCCTTCAAATGTAGATTCACCTACTTCTGAAGTAAAGCATTTCTACAGGCTTCATAATCCTCTATTCCATGACCTGATGAGCTAACCCTAATAATTAAGATTTTTAAGATCTGCTATAAATAGATCACGTATATTTATTATTTTTTTTTAATATCTACCTGTACCAGATTCTTCGGTAATATGAGAAGCATCAATAACACTACATTGCTTTTCACTTATTGGGCGTATATAAGTTGTTCCAATAAGTTTGCTGACCCAATAAAAAATTATTTGATTTTGTTAAATTCAATGAAAAATGAGTAAAAAAAGTAGTTAAATCATTAATTATATATAATTACCCTTGAATGTAAATTTGATATTTAATCCAGTTCAGAGACTTTTTCTTAATGCATCCATTATTTTGGTTGCAATTATATAATTATTTTGTATAATGATGATGCATCATTATTTGGACAAAAAATCAAATATTCTATATTTGGATTTATTGCAACTGTATAAATTAAATAAATTTAGTTAAATTACGATCAAAATAATTAAGTTAATAAATAAAAAAGCATTGATTAGACGGACAATTTAACCTGATTCGTAGGAAGTTCATAGAGTTATCGTTCATATCAGTTGTATTAATTATCTTTCAATACTTCTTGTGAATTTAAGACTGAAAATAAAAAAAAAAATTATTAATTAATTATAAAATTATAAACTTTTTAATAAAACATATTCTTAATGTTTACTTACTTGAATCAATTACTGGGAACTTTGTATATAAACAGATTTGTTCTGATAGTCATCACGATATTCTAATTCTGCTTCAGCTAAAGCTGTTCTAAAAAAAAGGTTATAAAGAATAAATTCAAATATTTTTTGAGAATAAATTTACAAATACAAATTTACATTTTACGACTACTACCTTGAAGAGGGAAATCGATGTATGGGTATGGGTTTATTTTGCCTGTTAATATACCCTTAAAATAATAGGCTTGTTAGAGCAATTACATTTCTCCATCATGCAAATAAAACACCTGTAACTGTTTAACTTCGTATTCATTAATCTAAAATCAACCTATTATTAAGAAAATACCGTACGAAAATTAAAAAAAAAAATCGTAAAAAGCTTTTCATACCAAAGTTCTGTAAGGATTTTCCATTAATACTCTAACAAATTCTTTTCTTTGAATTTGTAATGCTTCTAAAGCAACTTTTGCTACTTCACGAATTTGCAATGTCATTAAAGATGATTTATCAACGTCCTAAAAAAAAATGTCACTTTATAAAAATTAATTATTTCACATTATAATTGATAATGATAAAATAATAATAATCTTACTCTTAATTCCGTTAATGCTTTTAATTCAATTGATAAACCATGACAATCACATCCTTGGAATTTAACTTGAATAATATTAACGTACATAAAATATATTAAGAATACAAAAAAGTAATCCGTATCAATTATGGAACTTACTTCAATTTATATCCATGTAATACCTTATTTAATTTATTTTATTTTAAGGTCACGCGCTAAATAAAATATTGAAAGATATTATAAATTCAGTTGTTATAATTAAATTTTATAAATAAATTAAAAAATTAAATTAAATTGATGAAAATTACCTATGTGTAATTTCCATTAGCATAAGATGGACCAGCATGTAATATAAACATTTCCTTCGGATTATTTTCCATCTAGTAATCAATACAAAATTTCAATATCTTTAAAACAAAAAAAAAAGAAACAAGTATCAAAAAAAAAATAAAAAAAGAATCATAAATACCTGCCATTTGTACAGATCTTTAAAGCATCGATCTTGAAACAAAATCTATAACATCAGCCCTTAATGGAATTTTTGGTAATAATAAAATATCACTATACTATATTTATTCAATCATTATTATTTACTTTTTTTTGACGATTCGTCAATTATTTATAAAGAGAATTTTTTAATAATAATTTCCTTTGAAAATCTTATTTTAATTTATTAGGAAAATAATTTCTTTTCATAATAAACTATGATGAAACATATTAAATTAAATTTATTAATCGAGAGGAAAAAGATTTCGTCGATCAGCAAAAAAAAATTATTCATGACTGAAATAAATGCTTGATTTTTTATTTGGTGTCCAAATTCGGATGTGATTTTCAATTTTATTATTTTTCTTACTGTACGTGTCTACTTTTTCACATAATTAATTTGTCTATAAAAAATTTTACATCTTGTACGAAAAAAAAAAATTTTTTGGTTAGCGTCACGCATAAATCTTTATATAAATTATTTTGTTATCTACTGGGAAAGGGAATAAATGTACGGTATCTGGTCTGGTTTATTTTACGTAATTTATTAGCAAATTTATTTTGTTATTTTACTTAACTAAAATATAAAAATGTCTTAAAAAATAATAATGAAATAGTTATATATAATGTATATTTTATCAATTAATTCTTTCCATAAAAATAAGTTTTAAATCGATAGGGCTTAATAAAAATTAAGGCCTTTGTAATAATTTGTCCTTTATATTAAAGCTATTTTTAGGAAGGATCCAATTATATTTGAGCACTTTTCCAATAAACACGACACTCCTTTTTATTTTTTTAAAGTATATTTACCAATATTAACTGGTTTCTTTAATTTTCTAAAAGTAATTATTGGTACCAGTGGATGAATTCTCTAATTATTGCACTAACGCATTTCAATTCCTTGTAAAATATGAGAGCGGAATGATTATAATGGTTTAATACCTTTAATTGATCCGAATCTGGTAGTATATTTGGATATTTACCGAGAATACTAATACTTCTGATTTATTTTGAATTATAATATACATCAAAATTTAAATAAAATAAAAAACATATATATTACATGTATATATATAATTTTAAAAAATCATTTACTGGATATTTTGCAAGATAATAAAGTGATATACTCAACGACATCGAAGTTGCTAAAAAAAAGTAATAATAAATTTAAATGAGATAATTAATACTTCTCGCTCAAACAATTTTATTGCATATCATATCTGCTTATTATCATGACCTGCGACAAAAATGTTTACCATCTCATCTCTTAATTGTTTTACATCAGTATTAATTCCAAGTTCTAAATAAATAATGACTTTTATAGGGATTTTTCTTAATTTTATTTCTCTTATTTCTATAATATCAAAAATAAATCCATCAAATTCTTCGATCACATTCATGAATTTTCTGTTAGATTCTATATGTAATCTATTTATCAACGAAATATTCGACGGAAAGGAGACACAATAACGTATTATATGAGGAGTTTCTTCAGATTCTAAACACTATATATATTTATATTTGATTTTATGTAAGTAATAACTTGTAAAAAAAATAAACATGACAAACATGACAAAAAAATTTTTAAACTCTTACGCCAAATTTATACCCAAAAGCCCAATTCATTGTAGTATGTTGCATAATTTCGAATACATCAATTGGTCGGTTTAAATTTTGTTGAATGAAGGAAATAAGATATAATGTAGTTTCACCACACCATAAAGAAAGAGATATTCTAATTTAGAAGGATGAACCTGTCCTAAAATTTTGTGTTGACTATTTTCAATGATTAAGTAAATATTATTACATATTATCAGGTGTACCCGAATCAAAATATCTAATCTTCTTACAATATTTTATAATAAATTTAAATAATCGTTGTTTTGGCAGTATTGGTTCTTTATATTCCTCTCCCATCCAAAACTAAAATTTTCTAAACAATCACTAAATTGCTGTAATAGTAATTGCAATGATTCAATATGTAATATTTCATTTACAAATAAGATCTCAATTTAAAAGGTTTATTAACCTTAATAATTTGTTGAACAAAATCATAATCTAAAGAATAAGATGAATAGATTCTAAAACATTCAATTGATCAAAAATCTTCTGTAAAATTGTAATTATATTTTTAAAGTCAATACTATCAAATATAATTGTATTTAAGTATTTGAACAGTTAAAATTTTTCAATGATAAAAATGGATTATATAAATTAGCAAAATATCCAAAGAAATTTTTTGAGATTATGTCGTGAAATAATTATTTGTGATATAATACGTGATAAAAATTTATCAATTGAGTGGTGCGAGCTTAAGGATAGACAGAATGACGACAATAAGATAGATGAAGACGTGGATCTAATTAAAGTAGAGCTCATTGATTTGGCATTTAATACATTAAGGTGGAAAAAGAATATAATATATGGTGACTACAAAAATTACGTTAAAAAATTAAATCAAATTGAATATAAAGCAAAATATCCTAACCTGTCGATATCTTGAATATGTATTTTATCGTAATGAGCTACAAGAGATTAATTGGAAGAACACTTTTAATTTTATTCAGAAAGGTACATCGTCAAATAAAAAATTCACGGACGCGTTAGATAATGCTCTACGGTCGTATAAGATTAAAAATTTATGAAACTACTACCAACTTATACGATATTATTTGAAAGAGATTGCGGCCATGTAATGACTGATTTATGTCCTAGATGTGAAATAGATGTAGAAGATTGGGAACATGTGTGGTCTTGCAACGACAGAATATGATGTTTTAATTAAAACGTTAATTGTGCTCGAAGAAAAATTTAAGGACTCAGGAGATGAAGAAAGATATAAATTGTTAAAACGTTGGCCAAGGAAATAGTAATATTTATGACTAATGTGTTAATATTAGGAAGACAGTTGCGGATGCGGGAATTAACAAGGGGGATTTTTAACAATAAATTATACAAAATGTGTAATTCTAAAGTGGAACGTCAATTTCTAGAAGAAATTTGGGAAAATTGCTTTTTAATATAAGAACGGATATATGGTTAGAAAAATGTAGTAAAATTAGTGAAATAGAAAAAGGTAAAGGCGTCACCATGGTTGACAAAAAACGAAAGCGTGAAGATCAGTCGGACGTGACAACGGAAATATGATTGGAAGATGGTAGTGAAGAAAAAACAAATACCTTAAAAAAAGTGCAAATATCAATATAATGCAAAAAGAATTAAAAAAGAAATTATTGTAGAAAATAGAGTTAGTAACAGTTTAATTATTAATAGACCTCATCAAGATACGTGGAGATACGGTTATAGGCCAGATTTGTGTAATTTGTGATAGTTAGAATTTTTATTTTTCAGTAGTATATAGTATTAATATAGTTTTAGTATTAATATTTTTATTAATACATCCATAATAATATGGAGCTAGTAGATAGTATTCTTTACTATGTATTACTTTTAAATTACAAATTGTATAATGCAATAAGATAAATAAAAGAATGCAAGTTACTAAGTTACTAACAAAAAAAAAAAAAAAAAACAATTATTTGTGATAAACATTTTTCAATTAATGAATGGCTAGTGGTGAACTGGTGATAGGGATTGGAATCGATTCTACACGATTCTGCCAAAATCGAATTCGACAGAATTGATTAAACTCGATTTTATTTTTATTTTTAAAAACCACGTGAACAAGATTACAGAAAGATAGACAAGAACAAAAGATAAAACAAAAGTCGAACGCTATCTAATACTAAGCTATAATCAAACCGCCCGAGGACAGCGCCACTCTGGTACCTTTAACGAACCTGGAGGAGTCCCTAACACGACATCACATCCCAATGGACCAAAGAAAAGGCAATCAAATCAAAAAAAGAAACGATCCGTATTTTTCTTTCGGCCATTAAAAGCCGCCACCTGTAAATACTGTCATAGGTGGAATGGTTAACACTATTCTAATTGTTGTACGTTGGTATAAAATTTTGTACGTGGGGGTAACCCAAAAAAAAAGATGTAATAAATTACAAGTCAATAGTAAAAATGTGGCAGAAATAATATAAATCTATAACTATCAGCGTGCCACTAAAGTAAAAAAATAAGCTGATAGTGGTAACCGAATGGGGTTAAGGTGAAGCGAAGACTTTAGAGTCTTCAGGAGACGGAATATCTAGTCTCAATTTTTTGACCTCAGTATTGTGCCTATCTATATTTATAGTTAGGGTAGGGGGACGTTTATGTGGTCTGAGCTCAAGTTGTTTCGTATCATCTGAAGTGTGTCCTTTGTAACGATAATGATATGCATTGTCATCTATGACTGAGAAGTAGTCGATTTTGAAAACACCTAATTCGCGCTCCAATTGGAGCAACTGTTTGTTGGTTTTGTAAACATTTTTTCCTTGTGTAATTCTGTTCTTTAGAACAGCACGACGCTCAATTAGAGGTGTGATTTTCTTGTGATAATGATCTTGAAATTTAGTGAGATCTTTCGTCATTTCTTCACGGTATTCTATACTGTTGGAAGAGGTACCCCAGAGTTTAGCTCTAGCGGAAAGGTCTTCTTCACGAAGAAGACGTTCTTTTTCTTGTCATTCGACCGATTCATGAGCCTTTTTACGGTTTCTAATAACTTTTAACCACTCCGTACTGCCTGGATCATGTTGTCGACCTTTGAGAGTGGCCTGTCTTTTAGATATATAAACAGGTTCGTCGGTTACATAAGGGAAGAGGTCGTTAGGAATCCAGATGCCCAACGTCTCATGCCACGTATTCTCTTCTTTGAGGAGAATGGGTTGTGAGGTGGTGGCAGGTGAGTGAGTATTTGAAGTACTAAGTGAATTATTCCCTGGATATAATCGATTCGCTTGGTCAATAAAAGGGTTCAGATCGGCTATTGTGCCGAAAGGTCTGCGTGATGCAGGGGGTATAGGAAAATTGTATTGTGCCTCATCTCTAAGCGTTGGTCTTTTATGATATTTTAGATGTTGTATAGGTTTATTAATGTGTTGTGAAGGTAAAAATAGGAAACGATGTTGTCTAGCACGGTAAAGCTTTTCATCAAGACTATCCACACGTCTATTAGATTTTCGGTTGTTACCCTGATTGTAGAAAACATATCTACAAGCCCGTTGAAAGCGGGATTTTTGTTTTTTACTCCTTTTACTACTATCGGAGTGGTGTGAACGGAAATTGTCCAATCATTTTCGGTACATACGACGCTCGTTGTATGTGGAAAGAGCTTTATGTCCATTAGTTAAGTATGAAACATCGTAGGAAATTCCAAGACGATTTGAATAAATGTGTTTTTTGACATGATGTTGCCATTGTTTATGAATAAGGGTTGCATGGAACCTTTTGTTATTGATAATGTTATTAATTGGTACCGGCGTGTGTTTCTTGATATTATGAAAAATATCTAAATTTTTATGATGGGAAACACAAGCTCGTCTATTCTGAGACATGATGTAAGGGGAGGGGACACTACACAACTGTGTGTGTTCTGTTCCAAAATTGTGAGTGGTGGAAAAATTACATGGTGTAAAGATACCAAAATGGAAACGATAACGTTTATAAGAAAAGTTAAAGAAAGTTTTTGTGCGGGAATTTCTTTGTGCGACACTGTCAGCACGTGATTTGATAACGAAATATCTATCTATTAATTTAGAACGAATAAGATTAAAATATCTCTTTTGAATGGAGCGTGGGATGACTTTTTGATGAGAAAAAAAAATGTTGTAACATCTTACTAATCTGAAACTTCAGATTAGGAAAGCTACAGGTGGAAGAGTAGCTAATAGGGGTTGATTTCATGTGATAATCATTTGTGTGTATTTTAAGATGAATATCATTGGTGTTTGCTGAAAGATCAGCTAACTCAAAAA